GGGTGGTTGCGCTTCAACTCGCCTAGGGCACCAACCAAAATGGCTAGAGCCAGCACTGCATAGCCCACTGTGTATCAGCGTTGGACCAACACCAACCCCCATTCCACTTCATTTGTTTTACAAATGATACTAATATGAGAAATGTAAAATAGCAAAATTTTTGTTTTATAGACAAATGACATTAATGTAGAACTGATTAACTTTTTATAGCTTTTTCTGGCATGATAACTTCATAATGTATTTTAGTTATTTTGTCTCAATTGCTCTTTTGACTCCTCTTAAGCTAAAAGCTCTTACAGTATATTCAGCCGAGTTTGTGTTTGAAAAAAGAATGTGGTGAAGGTAAAAATCTTCAGTGGTACTTTTAGTGTATGTCTAATTTTTTTATGAAGACTTTATTCTGTCGCATGTGTGCTATTTATTTTTTAAGGCTAAATTACTTGACAGTCGAGGTTAAAATTTTTTAGCAAGTGTCTATCCTATCTTGATGATGAAAATGATGATGAAAGCCTTTATTGTCATCATTTGCACAATGAAATTACATTTAAGAACATCCATTCAAGAAGACACACATGCCAAAAACATGGGGGAACAGGTGATCAGGTCATGCGGCAACCAGTAGGGGTCATGCTATCTTTTAAAAGCTTGGAATATGCACAATAGGAAAGATGAGTTAAAAATATGCTCTGATCCTATGTTTACACAGAAACAGAATCATACGCTCAAAAAAACCCACTCRCACAGTGCAAGGCAGCTTAGGAAGGGAGGGGGCTGTGTATCAAACACATGGTACGGGGTAGGATGCAGCAGAGCCAGTGACGTTTAAGGGTAATACTCCGTGCTGGAACCAATCAAAGACTTCCAGAGTCCAAAAACAAGTTATCAACCAAAGCACAAATCACCAGAGTTCAGTTCTCTGTCTCCACCCATTGTGGCCTTCAGACTGATCCACCCACGAGTGAAATGGGTAGGGGATGGGTAGTCAAGCCTTGGGAGTGTTTGATAACTGCCGACCAAGGTTAGCAGCTGCAGGTATCCAAAATATAAACATAATTGTTTGGGACAAACAGCCTTGATTTTCTCACTGCTTTCAGTTTTTAACTGCATCTCTGTGATGGCGAAAAAAATGTTGAATGTTCCGAATTTCAATTGCCGCCTTGCCTTTCTTTCCGTCTGAAACTTCACCCAGGTGTAATCCTACATCTCATGGGCATGCTGCTGAACTGTGATTCTCATCAGAATCATGTCCAGTTTGTGACTTATATCTCCCAACTGTGCATTTCCAGTACGGGAGATTCCATCCAAGGTCCCTGACAGCTTTTCACAGGCCTGTACTGCTGTCAGGATCGCTTTCATTTTCCGATAAGCCAGGACTCCTCCACAGCCGATCAGCAGGAATCCAGTTATTATAAATCCAAATATGTACAGATCTTCAACATCTTAAATGGAAAGCGGCGCCAAACAGATCAGGTTCCAACCCCAAGAACCAGACAATCGCCCGGCTGCCACCATTCCACTGGGACAGCTGCGCTCTCCTCGCTCCAATCTGAGTGTGGAAAAAACAGTGTCAATTGTATTCAGATTGGCCAATTGACCAAATCCATAATTCCTTTTGTTTTCGGATGATAGGTAGAAGAAAGGCTTGACAAAGCTGCAAAGCAGGGAAGGAGGGACAGGTTCTGGAGAGAGAGCAAAAAGTGTCCGACTCCTCTGAAGGCCAAGCGAAAAAAAATCTATCTTGATAGGATTAGTGGATTTCTTGTGATAGCATTGTCAATGGAGGTCCAAAATTTACAGTCCCCTTGACATGACTCAGACTTAGCTCTTAATTGCTTAGGTTATGACTATTGGAGAGGAAGTCCCACTCAATCAAGTGCCAGTTCATAAATAAAATGGCAAAGCACTGCACTTCTAATGGAGCAGCAGCATCCTGTTAAGCTTTTCACTTACTTTCAAAAGGAAGAAAAGTTGGGTAAAAGGGAGTCAAGCATTTGGAAAAGTCAGTGCAGCAGGAGTAATGCACTTTAATTCAGATTGATGAGAATCTAATCCACCTTAAGGTCAATTCAGCTTCAAAATGAAGCAGAAAGCAATTTTCAGATTATGTAAATTGGGCTTTTGCAGCAGTAGATGCCAACAGGAAGACAGGCGTTAGGGTTTGAGGGAGTGTGCCATTTTCTCCACTTGGTAAGGAGGATGACTCATCACTTTATCTCAGCCGCTGAGCTCATTCTAGCTACCAAACTCTGACTCATAATATGTGCCCTTCTTCTTCTAGATGTGGCCTCCAACTCGCCAATTATGCCTTTGTTGATTCCTATTAATTTAAGTCCCACAGTAATAATATTAGAAGCCTAATAAAGTAATTTTTATTTTCTAAAGTGTTGTGTAATTATTTTTGGCTGTTCTGGCATCTCATAAAAGATTATTTATTGTCATGGCAAAAAAGAGTTGTAAAGCAATGAAAAGACAAAACTTGCTTGCTTTCTAATCC